AGTGAATACAGGGTGCAGTGGTGGGTACATTAGTTACAGCCAGTTATTTTCTGAAAAAGAAACCCAGTTTAACTTTCAGTTTCTTTACCAAGTTTTCCACATGGAGCTTAAAAGAGAGATGCGAGTCGACCAAGATACCCAAATATTTATAGGAATAGACAAACTCGATGGGGACACCATTAAAGGATAAAATCAGAGGAAGGACTGCTGGGACCGGCTTGACTGAAGAAGTCTTCTGGATAAACGCAACGTTTCAAAAGAGAAGAATCTGTCCAGAGGGCCTGACTTAACTTTGATTCATCTACCTGGATTATCGAGCATGCTTCAGGACAGATTAGGTACAGATGTACTGTACATAGAATGATTATTCCTGAAAGTTTAAGTAAAATCTGTCCAGTCCTTCATGAAATATTTGCTATATACAACTTTTGTAAGATTTAGTTGAATTTATTTTTATTACAGACACAACTAAAAGCTAAACGTAAATTAACTTGTGCTATCATAATCCTTGGACATTTAAAAGATTATTTTAGACAAGAAGGCATTTGAACATGAAACCTACTCAACAAATGTTAGTGTGGTTTTCTACTTTTGTTTTATCGTTGTGCTACTTGTAGCTTTGAGTTTTAGCTTTTTGTGCAAAATACTTCAGCTCAACATTCACACTGCATTTGTGCAGAAAATGTGACTTCGGTAGTTTTGTGTTCAAAATTTGCTGCCACTTTTAAAAAAAACAACGTTGCCCAACTGGACAAACAATTAGCAACTTTAAGAACAGATATTTTAGTAGCTTCATGTAACCAAAGTATCTTTTACTGTGTTCAACGTCTTTTTCTGCAAAAAATAAAAAACCTACTTGGACAAAATCACAGTTTCTTGTTTCATTTATCATCTATAAACACCACTGTCTTCCCCTCAGCTTAAAAAGACGTGTCTTTAGTTTCAGCTACGAGATGATTTATTATTTTAGGGACAGTCTGCAGCTTAACTTGTCGTTAAGAGTTGACTTTTTTTGTTCAACTTCAGTGTTTTTCTAGCTGTACCTTAATGTGTATCAAAAATGTACACTGGTGTCGTTGTTCCTACTGATACCAGTAAAATGAGCTCAACAAAATTAACTTTTAATATTTAACCTTCTGTTTCTCACATGACACAAGATGAACACGAGTTTCTTGACGTAGCCACACCAAGTACAATTTATTGAGAACTTAAAACAAGTGGGGTGAGATAAGCAGCTCAGAGACTTCCAACACTTGTGTGTGTTTGATGTGCTCCAGATGTGGAGGGTTAGCCTGCAGCCTCGGAAGGATCAGTGGAAGGACTTGGCCTGGCCCTCGGGTGTCAGCACGGTCAGGTTGCCCCTGGCGTCTTGGTCGAGCTCAATGGCCTCAAAGAGAGACTTGAAGTTTCCTGCCCCGAAGCCCTGAAGAGAAGAAGCAGCACACAGATCGACGTCTTCTTCTTTGTCATTTGTTATGACTTCAAGTCATTTTACTGACGGCGTTCAGGACAACCAAGATTTTATTTCCACATCATAAAAATAGAGTCGCCCACAGGAGGCTGTGCTTCCTCTGGGTTTGCTAATCACTCGTGAATGTTTTAATGCTGATCAAAACAAGATGAAGTGGTTTGTCTGGGGGGGGGGGGGGGGGGTGTCTTGCTGTGGTTTATGTTCAGTTCACACTTTCATGCTTTCCATGCACATCTGTGGACTGAAAAGTGACAGCACGCCTGTTCTGACAGGCTGACTGGGTGCTGGGTGCCATGAATGGAGTGCCACAGGGAAAAACCCAGGGACCCCCCCCCCCCCCCTTCGCTGTGAGGAAGTTTGAGTCTGTGACAGATTTACTGAGTTTTACAAGTGGGCTGCTCTAACTCCAGTCTGGGTGGGAGCTGTGAACAGGTGTTCAGTTCTCACTCTGCTGCTCCTGTGGGGGAAAGCGTCACAGGCATTTAAAGGGATATACCAGCCATTTTAAAGAGGTGCTCTGTGTAAAAGTTGTGATGTAG